AGATGTTTGTGTGTTTTATGACACAAATCAATACAAAGTAGTGCTGCAAGAAGAAAGCCCTTTCCGTAAAGTCTGTCAGGTTCAATTTGCATGTTTTCTAAGCCAAAACAAGGCTTTGTTTTAGTCCACTATAAAGCCTGAAACTCAACGCTATTTGTGACATTTTGAATTAAAAAAGCTTCCCGGTTGGGAAGCGAAACATCTTTAAACTTGGAAACAAAGTCTAGTGGATTGTTTTTTTTCTTACTTTTTTTGGAAAAATCCTTTGGTAAATCATCTAACACCCTTTACAAATCTACCTAACATCTTTCTGTAAGTTCTTGGAATATTTCGCTCTCAGATTAGAGTGTCTATGAATAGAAATTGTAAACTCTTTATCCTTTTTTTTTTATTAATTACCGGTTTGCCGTTTGTGTCTGTCATTTAAAACCAGTTGAGGACTGACTTGTAATGAGCTCCAAACATCTTTCCATTAAAAAAACAAGAAAAAAAAAACATAACATTGTGAGGAGACTGTGTTTAAAGAGATATCCAAAATTCATGCAATAATTAGCATGTAGGCCAAAATACTCTGCAGAACGTAGCACAACAATGTAGTTCCTGTAAATTATACCATTTATAGAGCTTGAGAATTAACATAATGGTCAAAGACATTCCAGGACAGCAGGTCTGCTAGATGCACAGGGGGTTTTGTAGGTGGATTTTGAAAGTAAGTTAGTCAAACATGCCGTTGTCATGTTGACTCAAACTTCCACCTGAGCTTTGTATTGCTGGAGCACCTCCAGAATCATCTAGAACACCTCTATCTTTCTAATCTCAAACCATTAGTTAAACAAGGCTCTAACTGTCAAAACCTGAGCTGTTGCTTTATGACCAATCCTCACATTAATCTCCTCTATAACTTCCTTTCTGACCTTTCTGCTGTGCTCCTTGTGAAGGTCATTTCTGAAGTCAAATAGGTCTGCTGCAATTTATTTAGGAGTATCAGAGTAATAGGGGGTGATTCAATAGACTCAGAGCACACATTTTTTTTAATATAAAATACATATATATGACTGTAATGTGACAAAAAAGATTTAAGGTAGAAGACAAAGTTTTTTTTATGTTATGTGATAAAGTTTTTCACTGAAAACCTTCAGTGAAAGCACCATGTGATAATGCAAACAGGCCTTTAAAGACACCATAGAGTGCTTGTCGCCTCTAAATCTTACACCATTAAATTTACTACTTTTATCGGCCAGCTGAAGCCAAGCTCAGTCTGTCTCAAAATAAAAGAGACGTACTTGAAGGAAAGAGAGATGGAAGAAGAACAGCTGCTGCAAAACTCAAATTACTTTGCAGGGACAAACAAGCCATCTGTGCTTCCTGTTTTTTGTCCAAAAAGCCCATATTTTCCATCACTGCAGACTTAAACAACACAGCTTAGTTAGCAGAACTAAAAACCTGAATGTGAAGTAAAGTTCCAAAGGAAGAAAGTGCTCGTTCAAAGGCAATGTTAAGGGAAACTGTAGGTTTTAGATCAGATCAGTGAAATCATTGTGCCCATATTTGGACAATTATGCCAACTTTAAGTAAAAAAACAAACAAAAACATTCTATATCAGGAATGAGAAATGATATCCTTAGTAGATAAATTCTGGTTAAAAGTATAAACATTTTATAAGAATG